TGTCCTATGGAATTATTTCAGATGTATCTTTCCATTTGTATAAGAGAGGAAATAAATGTATATGTCATATATATATATATATATATATATATATAGATGAACAATAATTTGGGAGAGGTTTCTGTACCATCATAATACTTGTTAAATAATAAATGTGACACTAATGCATACAATTTTCAATATGCATTCTGAATCATATATTGGAAAATTTCTCAGTATAAGTAATTTAAACATAAAGGGATATATTTTCTTAATAGAAGAAAATTATGATAATTTATAAAGCTAAATAATTTTTAATTATTTCTACTTCAGTTCCCTTCTCAGATGTACAAATTTCAGATTAGCTCTGAAGCTTTTTCAGAAAGCTTTGCCAAGTGAAAGTATTTGGTAAGCTTTGTTCATTAACATCATTTGGTAAAAAGACACTATAACTGTATCATAATGTATATAAAAATTTGATATTTCACAACAAGCTTCAGGCTTTCATCATTAGAATTTAGAAAATGCAAGTTCTTGTATACCATGCAAGGTTCAAACAAATAAACCATTGTCTTTAAGGTCTGGAAATAACATAATACTTGCTGTTACTGCTGAGAACTCTAGGTACATTAAACACGAACCTATGGAAAGCATATCACCACGTACTGGACAGAAAAGCACAGAAACCCGCTCCATCTTCTTGCTGGTCAGAAGACAGTGTGCATTTGAGTTTTCTGCATGAGAGCCTGCTTTAATGAACAGAATTTTCTATGCTTAGGGTTTTGATTTTAAGCAGTAACCTAAAAGAAAACTCCTTTTTTCCTTAAAGTAGTTTTCTACTGAATATCAAAGTTTGACTCTACTGAAAGCTACTATATATGTTTTTCAACTGCCATTTTAGTTTATGTTTATTTTTCTCTTAAGGAGATTATTATAGTAATCACTCAGCAGAAATTGTTTTTAAGACTTGTTCCTTTAATGCTCTATCATTTCTATGTAAATTAAACTTATTGTGTAAATAAAATAAATTGAGGTGTCAGTCTGTTTTTAGAATGGAGTACTGTAATACACAAAATAATACATACACACAGTTACATTTTTATAGTCAAATGCTTTTGCTAATGTGTATCTTGTAT